TTACCACTAGCGCCACCTGGGAAGGCTGTGGGGAAACTCAGATACCCACCAAGGCTCCCAGGAAGAGGAACTGACATGTGCTGACCTGTGGTGACGAGCCCTGAGCCACGACGCCCTCTTCCACCTCAGCTCAATGGGTGGCCTCTGTCCTTGTGCCTGGCTTCACCGCTGCTGTCCTCTGTCCCCACCCTGGGAGCCAAACGCTGTCCGTGACCCTCCTTCCAGACCAGGAAGCGTCTAGCCGCCCAGCGCGGGCTGGCCGCCACTCAGGCCTCTGTAGCGCCACAGCTGGTCCAGGGCCTCGTTTGACACCCAGCTCCATGGCCGGGCCCCACTAGAGAAGTTAACCAAGGAGAAAAAAAAGAAAAAACAGGATATGTGTAAACAGTTTGGACAATAACCACAGTCAACCAACTAGTTTCCAGATACAAGGAGCTGACAGCCTCTGAAAAGACAGAGTTCATGACTCATTTAGTCCAAGTTGAACCCTTACAAGTTTAGTTTGTGGTTTCACCTGCCATCTTCCCTAAAAAGGGAGAGACAAGTTCTCAACGAGGTGTGCCTTCTGTATTTTTAATGAAGTCCAGTTTAGCCTGTGGGGAGAGGTTGTGTGCGTGTGCGCTAAGTCACTTCAGTCGTGTCTGACTCTTTGTGACCCTGTGGACTGCAGCCTGCCAGGCTCCTCTGTCTGTGGGATTCGCCAGGCAAGAATCCTGGAGTGGGTTGCCGTGCCCTCCTCCAGGGGTTCTTCCCGACCCAGGGATCAAACCCATGTCTCTTATGTCTCCTGCCTTGGCAGGCGGGTTCCTTACCACTAGCGCCACCTGGGAAGGCTGTGGGGAAACTCAGATACCCACCAAGGCTCCCAGGAAGAGGAACTGACATGTGCTGACCTGTGGTGACGAGCCCTGAGCCACGACGCCCTCTTCCACCTCAGCTCAATGGGTGGCCTCTGTCCTTGTGCCTGGCTTCACCGCTGCTGTCCTCTGTCCCCACCCTGGGAGCCAAACGCTGTCCGTGACCCTCCTTCCAGACCAGGAAGCGTCTAGCCACCCAGCGCGGGCTGGCCGCCACTCAGGCCTCTGTAGCGCCACAGCTGGTCCAGGGCCTCGTTTGACACCCAGCTCCATGGCCGGGCCCCACTAGAGAAGTTAACCCCTTGGGTCCTCCTGGAGTGAGTCCTGGAGTCATTTCATTCAGGATGTGACCCAGCGACGGGGCAGGAGGACACAGGGATCTGAGGCCGTCTGTCCGCTGTTCCCAGGGCGGGGGCGCCTCGCCCTCCGGCTCGCCCTCCTCCATCTTCCCTCAGCCGCCCCCTCCCCGGAGCACTCAGGACTGACTGGGCCGGAGGTCTGGGCTGTGGTCTGCGAGGAGGCCTGGGCTGGGGAGAGGGCCCTGCATCTCCCCGCAAAGCACTAAAGGGAGCCCGTCGGGTGTCAGAGGGGCCGTGAGGCCCTGCCCGGGCGAGCGCCTCGCCCGCCCTCCCAGCACCCAGGCCGAGTCACAGAGGTCAGTCCCGGGCACTGCCCACGCGCCGACAAAGCCCAAGCGCTGAGGACGCCTGGGAAACCGGCTCTCCTAAGGGGGCTGTGCGCTCCGGCATCCGCGCCCTGCGAAGGTCGTGGCAGTGGGCGGTAAACCAAGGCTCAGTTCACCCCAGGGGTCTCAGCTAGCTGGTGGGGGGCCTGGAGCAGACCCGGGCACCGAACTACTGCCCCACGCTCCCGGGCCCAGAGGCACTGCTCAGGGCCGAGGCTCTGGCCACTGACTCAAGTGTCTGCCGGTGGCGAAAGGCAGGTCTGGGCTGAGAAAACTCTGTCAGCCTGAATTATTCATCTTGGACTTGGCAGGAGGGATGGGGGAAATGGAGGCTTTCAGAGCCCGAGGACCCTCAGACCTCCCCCAAGCCACACCCTAAGGTGACCCTTAAGCAGAAGGGCCTCAGTTTCCCCCAGCTTCAAGTCCAGCGTTTTTAAAAAACCGCCGCCAAGCCTGAGGGCAGGAGGGTTTCCGTTGCTCTGTGTAGGCCATCTTGGAGGGACTTCTGGCTGATCCTGGCTCCCTGAGATGGTTCGGCCAGGGCCCCTGAGAACGTCTGACCGTGGGGGTGGCAGTGAGGGGATGGAGGCTCTGGGAACACAGTGCCTCTCAGACCCAGCTGATGCCCCCTCAGTGGGAAAGCCCCACGCAGGCCAGTACCAAGACCCAGCTCCAGGGGGCCTCAGCTGACCCCTCATGCTGGTTTCTGCAGACGTGTGGACCCCAGCCACCCCTGGGACGCGCATTCACTGTAGCAGCTGGGGAGAAGGCTGGCCAGAGGGTGTCAGGGTAGGAGAGACCAGGCCTGGGGACAAGAAAACCCAAGGGCCTGTGTCATCACAGCCAGTGACTTGTGAGTGACTTTGGCCAAGTCCCAGCCCCCTTAGGACTCAATTTCCTGACTCTGGATGTAGAGAAACAGCAGCCCCCGGCATCTCCACAGGACAGAGGGTGAGCGTGCTCTGGGCTAGTGTACCTGGGTTCAAATCCCTGGTCTCCCCCTAGTAGCTGGGTGCACAGAGGCAAGTTACTGAACCTCTCCGGGCCTCATCTTCCTCACCTATGAAAGGCTGATACCACTAATTCCCTCATCAGGCAGCTGTGAGGCTCACATGGGTGAAGGTACCTAAAACACCTGGAACATTGCCTGTGTTGCGTGTGTTACCATTTACTGTTACCATTATTGTCACCGTTTATCCTTATCATCTCCTCCCACGCCACACTGCAAGGTAACATCTGTGTCCTTAGGGCTCCTCAGGAGACAGGGGGCGAGGGGCCGCCCTGGGTGGCTGCACAAGGGCCTGCTGGGGACGCTCCCCTGGCAGAGCTGGGCTCGCAGAGGTGAGTGCGTGCCTGGCCAGCGATGGGCCCCGGGGAGACTGTGCAGGCCGGGGCCTCGGCTCCCAGCAAAGGACATAAATGAACTTCACGAGCGGGCTGTCCCTGTGCTTCCCAGCAGCGCCTCTGCCTCCCTGACCTGTGGACAGGTCAGCTGCAAAGGCTGGCACCCAAGTGAACCCAGTGAGAGAAGAGGCACTGGGCTGCCTCGGTTTTTCTCTTCCTTCCTCCTTCCTGCCTCGGCCGAGTTTGCAGGGAGGACTAGGTTCGCCAAGCAACTGTGATGTCTTATCTGATAACCAGACCGAAAGTATCAACCCATCCCTGATTCTCCTCACGTTTACATGCCTCCCAACTTCTGTCAGCTCTTGGGGCAGATCCCAAGGAGGACTCACCTCGGGTGGTGGTGGGCAGGGTGTGGGTCTCAGAGCAGGGCTGGGGAAAGCCTTCACCATCAAGCCCCAGTCCTCCCCACCCCAAGGCCTTGCCCCAGCACCCCCAGACTCCCTAGTCGTGATTTAGTCTTGCATCCGGCATAGCAATTTGCACAGAACAGGCAGAAGACAGCCCCTTTCCCTTCCCAGAGGAACTCTGTGGCCTGCCAAGAAGTAACCAATTCAGGAACATCATCGTGGAGGGGCGTGAACAGGCCAGGCTGAGGCTTTCAATGCCTCCCAGCACTGGAGGTCCAAGTAGATGGTGGGCCTTCTCTGAACCGGGGGCTTGAACAAAGTGACAGGTACTGCTGCGCATGGAGGCAGCCAGCCATGCCCATGGTCTGGACTGAAGGTCAGTTAGAGAGTTGCTCATGCCCAGCACTGCCCGGCCTGGTTGCATCCTCGGCCAGGAGTCCAGCAGAGAAGAGTATTAATAACTCCATGGTGACGGCACCACTGCGGGACTGTCCTCTCGAACATGACAAATGCGGCCACAAGAGCCTCCCCTGGCAGTGTCTCCTTGGCTCTCTGCTGAGACAAAGTCAGGATATCTTTATATTTTTAAAATATATTTATTTGGCTGCACTGGGTCTCTTAGTTGCAGCATGTGGGGTCTTCAGTTGCAGTGTGTGAACTCTGTTACAGCATGCGGGATCTAGTTCCCTGACCAGGGGTCGAACCTGGGGTCCCCTGCACTGCGAGCTCAGAGTCCTAATTGCTGGATCACCAGCAAAGTCCCAAAGTCAGGATGTCTTTAGGGGCCAAGTTTCCAGCCAGGGTTTCCAGCATTTGCCTGAGGTCTGGCAGGCCGGACCTCATAGAGGGTGAAGGGTAAGCAGACAGTAGGGGACCCAATCAGGAGCCCCTGCCTAACTTCTGCCTCTTCCTGGCCTGAGGTGGGCTCAGCAAGCCATCACAGGCTTCGCTTTTCTCATTTGCAAGCATCCATGATAAAGCTGGCCTTCCCAGGGCTGGTAAGAAAATCTGATCCCCTGGACAATAATGCTAGAAATAATCATGATAGATCACATTTATTGAGCACCTAGCTCCAGGTACTGGGCTAACATTTTCATAGCCTTTATATCTCAATTCTGCCCCTAACTCCTTGAGGCGGGTATAATTGTTACCTTATTCTATAGATGGGGAAACTGAGGTCCAGAGAGGTTTAGTGACTTCTCCAGGTCACACAGCAATGATGTTGTGGGGCCCAGATGGTGCCCAGCCTATGTATATGCTATATCAAAATGAAGCATTCCTGCACCCCTCCAGCCCCTGCAGGATAGTGAGTCCCCACCAGCAGGGACTTTCTTCTCATTGGGGCTGGGATCAAAGTTTCCAAAGGGGAAGGCCAGCCATGGGACATGAGCAGTTCAGACATGCTCACTACACTCTGCAAGCTTATAATCTTAGGGACTGTCTTTTGGAGTTTTTTGAATGTTTTAATATTTAAATTCAAATATTTTCAAGGCACTTGTAAAAAGTATTTAGTGAAAAGTCTCCCTCTCAGCCCTGCTCCCCCGAGGTGGAAACTGTTAGCAGTTGCTTGTTTCAGACGATTCCAGAAGAAATCAACGCCTGTGTACGGTCTTGTCTAACACCTGGGGGTGTGGCTGGGGATTTCAGGTGCCCTCCTTCCACACACGGTCTCCCTCACATCCCTTCCCTTTCTCCTCTGTTTTCCAGGGACCCGCACTGCCGAGAGCCCTCAGCCAGGAAGACTCTTGTGCTCTAGCCACAGGAAAGGCCGAGAAAAGGAAAGCTGAGGACTACTAACAGCCCACCTTCTGTCCGGAAGCTGCGACCTCAGCCCTAGACACCCCCTCCTCTTGTGGACTGCAGGGAGCCACCCCGCCCTCCCACGCTGGAGCATGGTGGTGCAGGACAGCGTGGACGCCCCCGGCGTGCCGCTGGAGCCCTTCCTGCACCAGGTCGGGGGGCACCTGAGCGTGATGAAGTATGATGAACACACGGTGTGCAAGCCCCTCATCTCCCGGGAACAGAGGTTCTACGAGTCCCTGCCACTAGCCATGAAGCGTTTCACCCCGCAGTACAAAGGTGAGTGTCGGAGCAGTCCCCTGCAGGCGGTGCCCCCTCAAGGGGCCCAGCCTCTCCGCACGCCCTCACCACCTCCTCAAGCGCCGTGGTGTGTTGTAGGGTTGCCATGGAGACCTGCCCCTCTGCACAGCCCCTCGCCTTCACCGCCCCAGGTTCTCTGAACTCTTCCAGCCCCCGGGGCTGGAGTGTAATGCCATTTGGCATCCCCTGTAAATTAGCTCAAGCCACCAGTCTTTGCGGGATTGAGAACGGGATAAGGTGATTCTCCAACCCCACCCCACCTTGACAGGACATTCTGGTCTGTGCTTTAGGTGCGCCGTGCCCGGGTCCTGCGATTGTGGTTGGTAAACACAGGACACTCCCTTGGGTGACCCAAGTGGATGGCGGGAGCCTTGGGTCTGGGACAGGTTATGGAGGAGCTGGTTCACAGTGGGTTTGGGAAACCAGAATCCCCACTGTTATCCAGGGGCAAAGCCAGGGTGCAGGCTGCTCCCCCAGTGTGTGTTCCTGATTTGGGCACAAGGTCTGGGGAGAGAAGGCTGCGTGGACAGGGCTGCTGTTTGCCGGCCTCTGCGGGGGGGCACTCCAGGCAGCCGCTGGCATCCATGGGGCAGGTTGTTGTGTCCACCCCCAGCCTTTGGTAAAAGTGGCTTGCAGGGCTCAGGGCATGACTCTGCCAGTCGCCAACCCCACAAAGTCAGGAATGCTCAGAGAAAAGACCTCCTTTAAAGGATTTTAGACCTGTGACCTCGTCATGCAAGTATCTGTAGTGAAAGCGATGATGACATTCAGACAAGTCACTTAAAAACTTACCTGCATTTCAAAGATGGAGAAAACTGGGAAGAAGGGGACCTGCCTATTGGTTTGCCAAAAAAGTCATTCTGGATTTTCCACGTCACCTTATGGAAGAACCCAAATGAATATTTTGGGCAACCCAATACATTGGTGTTTCTCATAAGTATGATCTGGGGTCAAACAGCTTTACCAGAATCACTGATGTATGTGTGTGTGTGTGTGTGTGTGTGTGTGTGTGTGTGTGTAAAGGCAGGCTCCCAGGCCATTCCTAACCTGTGAATCGGAATCCCTGGGTCACAGCCCAGGAATCTGTATTCAGCATCCAGATTCAGACCCACTGAGAGGGGCCCAAGGCCTTGAGCCCTGGGCACTGCTTCAGTCGTGGGCAGCCAGGACCTCCCGAGAGTCTGAGATGAGACACACAAGAGATGGGGAAGGAGGCTGGCGGCAGCTTCCCAGGGGCCTTCCAGGGCCACTGACCACCTTGTCAGAGCACCCTCTGGAGTTAACATCTGTCCCTTCACAAGCGAACTCAGGCCAGCACAGGGGCGGTCGGATCTCCGGAGGGGGGCCCCGCTGCCCGCAGCATTCCCTGCTTGTCCCACACAGCTCTGGAGCAGAGACCGGCTCCCAGGGCCACCCCAGGCAGAGCATGGAAGTGGAAGAGCAACCACACCCCAAGGCCCTCCCCGCTCCCCGTCTTCCCGGGTCGGCGTGGACGGCCCCACTCTGGGGAGCCTCGGGCACTGGTCAGCTGTCCAGACCCATCCTCTGCCTTGCATCCCTCTCAGCTTGGGCCCATCCTGGTATCTGCCCCGACGCCCCGCCTCGGAGCCCCGCTANGGACGGCCCCACTCTGGGGAGCCTCGGGCACTGGTCAGCTGTCCAGACCCATCCTCTGCCTTGCATCCCTCTCAGCTTGGGCCCATCCTGGTATCTGCCCCGACGCCCCGCCTCGGAGCCCCGCTAACTCCGTAGATTAATTTGAGTCCTAATTTGGAGACGATGGTTGCAAACAAGTCAAGAGGGGCCGGGTCAGGGAGGCCCAGGACATCCATCAGGGGAGACCATGCAGCCCGGCTGCGGGTGAGGGTGAGGCGGAGCCCACCGGCTGATCTGATGCCCAAACGCGAGGCTTGGACGATGAGGAACGCTGATCCCCTCATCTGCCATACCACGGGCCACCGGGTGCCAGGGTGCAGGCACCACCCGAGGAAACACATGTGAGGAGACACTAGAAAAAGGCCCAGAAGTGGGGCCTGCATGCCCTCGGATCCCCGGGGCAGGAGGGAAGAAGGTCGGGTCTGGGCATAGGAAAGGGTCCCTTGAAGGGCCTGGGGCTGTGCAGGTTTCTTCCTTCCCCCGATAGGAAAAGTAATGCCAAGGCTTCCCTGGCAGTCCAGTGGTTAAGACGCCGCACTTCCACTGCAATGGGGCACGGTTTCAATCCCTAGTTGGGGACTAAGATCCCAAAGACAGCTCAATGCAGCTCCCCAACCAAAAAAAAAAAAAAAGAAAGAAAAATACTACTGGTCAACCTTTTAGCATTTACTCAGTGTCGAACACCCTAGAAGTTGTTTCTTTGATTGACTTGTTTAACCGTGACAACACTCTAGGAAAGGTACTCCCGTTGTCCCCACTTCATGGAGGAAGAAACAGGCCCAGAGAGGTCAACCAACTTGCCTCAGGCCACACAGCCCACAGAACAGAGCCAGGATTCAAGTCTGGCTCCTGAGTATGGCCTCTCAGCCCCCGGCCCTGATGCAGTGACCATCCCTGGAGAGACAACTCCCCAGATGCCAGTGCTCGGAGCTATCCAGCCCAATAAGGGAGGGGAAGTGACTTGCCCAGGGTCACTTAGCTAGTGAGTTGAGTGCCCACAGGCCGCTGCAGGGGTCTCCCTTTCCATCCTGATGGGACCAGCCCGGAAAGAGGGGCCGTTGCTGATGCGGCTGCCACATGCCCCGAAGCCCACCCTCTTCCATCTCACGCCTGCACGCTGACGGCTTTGGGGTGCTGGGCAGGCACTGCGTTCCCCAGGGCAGCCTCCCCGGGCCCAAAGTGCGCCTGGACTCCTCAGGCATGAGAGCATCTTAAAACTCTGTCCCTCCTCCCCTCAGCTTCGGGCAAGTGAGGACACACTTCTAGGTCCAGCTGATTAATGGATGAGCCAGATTCATATTACAGACGTCGGCGAATTAATGTCCTCATGAGCTTAAAAATAAATACATGACAGAATACTCACGGAAGCTTCTCGGCCAAATCAGAATTGCTGAGATGCTCTGGGTGTGTCAGGGAGCGCTCCCGTCTGCCCGGCTGACGTGGTCACAGTCAAGGTGCTTGAGGGGCTGGTGAGCAAGCAGATGGGGCTGGGGTCTCCCACCCACCTGGCTGGGCAGGGGCAGCAGTGTATTGGGAGCCTGTGGGCGTCTGAGACAGCTAAGGAGAGCTGGAGGCCAGGCTGGGGCCAACAAGGCTCTTGACAAAGGAACGATCCAAAGCTCAGGGAGTCTGAATCCCACTGAGTGGCTGCTCTTGTCAAGGACAGGCAACTCGAGATTGTTTGCAAGGTCACATGAGCTATGGGGCTCCCCTGGTAGCTCAAATGGTAAAGAGTCTGCCTGCAGTACAGCGGACCTGGGTTCGATCCCTGGTTTGGAAAGATCCCCTGGAGAAGGGTATGGCAACCCACTCCAGTTTTCTTGCCTGGGAAATCCCTTGGACAGAGGAGCCTGGTGGGCTACAGTCCACGGGGTCGCACAGAGTTGGACATGACTGAGCGACTAGGACAACACTCTGTGCAATGGTCCCAGGTTCCAGAGGGAAGGGCTGGGCTGAGCTGAGAGAAGGAAGGAAGAGAGAGACAGGGAGCCAGGTAGAGGCACGCAGGGAGACGGAGCGAGAAGGCAGGACAGGAGTCTGGCTGGTCGCGCTGACGACATGACAAATAGAAATGACTTTTGGATTTTACTTGTTTGGCATTATTTGCACCTCTGATCACCTCCATCTATTTCGACACTCAGACCAGATGAGATCAGGCCAGAGCTGGAGTCTGGAGAAGCAGGCGAAGGTCACATTTCTTGTCTCTCCAGGGAGGCCCCCTGGGCCCAGGGCTCCCCAGGAACTTGGTTTCTGGCAGGCCCGTCACCTTAGCCTCACAAATGTGAAAGGCCGGGGGCTCGCCGGACAGTAACTTGAACTTTGTGAGATCCAAAAGGGCCTTGTCTTTGGCCGGCACACCTTCCTGCCTCCCCAAGTGGCCAGGAGGCTCCAGGCTCCCCAAGAACCAGCACAGAGGTCGTGGGGCTCCCCCTCTCCTGGCACCTGGAGGGCGGGCTCTGGGGCCTGGCGGAGGGTGTGGTTCCCAGGTCAGCCCTCCTTCCTGGGACCAGCACAGCAAGGTCAAGGCTGGAAACGAAGCCCCATGTCCTGGGCTTCTCCGTGCTTCGGGGCTTGACGCTGATCGCCTCTCCTGAGGTGGTGGCTCTGTGGCCGCTCTGTCTGCCCCCGCGGAACCGAATGACCAGCCAAAGGTGATTGGGGACACAGCGGGACTGTCCTCATCAACCACACTCGGATAAACACAGCGTGACAACCCCCACTCTCCCGAGAGATCCTGGGCTTCGTGTGGCAGCCTGTTCCTCCTCCCACAGTCACGGCTGGTACAGCCGTCACCCCTTACCAACCATGTGACCTGAGGCAAGTTATTCAATCTCTCTGAGCCTCAGGGACCACAGTCAACGCCTTGCAGGCTTAGCGATAGACACTAAGTTAGCAGTAAACAAAATGCACATAATGCTGGCACATAGTAGGTGTAAAAGACCCAGCAGCGATTATCACTCCTGTCTGTGTCCCCAGCCTCCACCAGCCCCCTGCTCTCATGAGCAAGAACAGCACGGGTGGGCTCCATCCAGGGAGGCAGGCTGCAATCCAGGTGAAGGACAGAATGCCGCACTCAGGGGCGCTGTGACCGTTAGCATCACAATTGCTCCACAGGATACTGGGGCCTGGGATGAGCTAAGGAAGAACAGAATTTTTAAGGAACATGAGGGAAACGAAGGTCACCGTCAGGCCGCAGAATCAGGGCTCTGGGAACTCAAGATGACAGGCCTGGCCCACGGAGACCGCTGAGCTAGTAGCACAGATGGGCCTGGAGAGCGACGTGCAGAATGACAGGGCAGCCCTGAAAAGGAGTGTCTGCGCTGAGCAGCCCAGGAGGGCGGGCAGGACCACGCGCACGGAAAGCAGCCGCCTCGGCACCTGGCTCAGCAGAAATGACCACTTAGAGGCCGGGAAGGTGACCCAGTGCCTGGGGGAGGTAATAAACACCTGGGAGGATGCGATCTCAGGCAACCCTCCCACCTGTCAGGGTCCCAGCAGAAAATGAATGGCATGTGCCAGGGGGTTAAATGAAGAGAATTCTTCAAGGATCTATCGGCAGAACTGCACACAGGATGAAGGGAGCAACTGGGGGGACTTTCCTGATGGCCCAGTTGTTAAGACTGTGCTTCCACAGCAAGGGCCACAGGTTCAGCTCCTGGTTGGGGAAATAAGATCCCGCATGCCACGGAGCCAACAAAAAAGAGGTGAAGAGGAACAACTAGGGATGGTGAGGCAGCCGGGGACCAGTGGGATGGGAAAGCTGCAACCACCCCTGGGCCTGAAAGGTCAAGTGAGGGCATGGTAGAGCTGACCTGGCAAGAAGGAGGCCACAGAGAAACAGGGTGAGCCATGGGGCAGCAGGGAGGGAACCCGAGGGATGAAGGTCCCAACCTTTCTCCTCCTCTCCCCCCATCTGTCACCGGTGACCCTCACTGGCCCAACTGGCAGGCAAGGAAGCCACGGGTACATGACAGAGTCAGCCCCTCGGGCACAAACCAGGGTGGAGAGAGAAGGAGGGCAGGTTGGTAGGTGAGAGAGCCAAGATGGGTCCTCAGAGCACCAGCTGCAGGGAGAAGAGGGGCAGCAAGGACTTTACAGAGAGCCAGTTTTCATAAAACCACTCGTGTGGCAGTCTCCTGGGCCAGGACCATGCGTACCTTCCATCTTCACCAGGACTCTGGCAAGGCTGGGCACCCACCGGATGCCAAGCCCCATGGAGGGAGGCATGGACCCTGCCATCAGAGCAAGAAGTCCACGGGGGATGATCACAGAGCCATCAGTATGGGGCCAGAGCCTAGGACCTGGCCTAGCCAACATCCCAGAGGAGAAGCCCGGCTAGTGCACGGGTTTCCGGGGGGTCCGCACATCCTTTGATATCATAGCCAGCGTCCAGAGGAGGAGGTCACTCTTGGAGTATAAACCCCAGGGGTTAGGGAGTTCTGTGGCGGTCCAGTAGTTAGAACTGCAGGTTCAGTCCTTGGTTGGGGGGCTGAGGTTCCACAGGCCTTGTGACATGGCCAAAACAAAGACAAACACACACTGGTGGTTAGGAGGTACCATTGGCAAAAATCTCACATGCCTTCTATTTTCTATCAAAGAACCACGTTCTGTTCATAATCCTCATGGGCTGTGCATCACGTGTCTCAGTGTGAAAGCCAGGGATGTGGGAAGGCTGAGCTAAGGGGCAGCCCGGGCGGCAGGAGGCTGTTAGAGGAAGGCTTCCTGGAAGAAGCTGCTCAAATAACGATTATGTGGAGGGGAAGGCAAGGGCGATGAAGGAGACAGAATGAGGTGCCCCCCCACCTCAACTTCCCTCACTGCCACTTAGAGGTGGGGCTCCTCTCTGCAGAGGACCAGCTCAGATGCCCCAAGGCTGGGCCCAAATGGGGTGCCACGGGATGCCTGGGTGATGTGGGCTGCGTCCAGAGGTGCAGGAATGCGAGGATGAAATAAATGCACGCAGCTGCCCTGTTTCAAGCGTGAAGGGGCAGGGAGAGGCCACGAAGCAGGGGCCGTGCCAGCGTCAGCCCAAGGCCATTTCCGGCAGGCCCCACAGCTCTGGCTCATTCTGGAGCAGGATCTGTGTCAGGCCAGTCCCCGGAGCGCTCTCTAGAGAGAGGAGCTGAGGAAGGGGGCAGGTTGACCACTGCCATTAAACTGTGGTTCGAAAGGACATCGCACCGTGTCCTCCCCTCCCCCTCTGCAGGCACCATCACCGTGCACCTCCGGAAGGACAGCCGCGGCCGTCTCAGCCTGGTTGCCACCCCCCTGACTGAGAACCAGGGGCCCTTCACGGTCTCCACGGAGTCGGCAGCGGTGGCCATATGGCAGACCCTCCAGGAGAGCCCTGGCGGTGGCGCCCTCCCCCTCGCCCAGTGGCAGCACCCCCAGCTGGCACACTCGCTCACGGAGAGGTGAGGCCACGTGGCAGGATGCCAGAAGCCAGGCCGCGCGTCCCTAACCGGGACCAGCACTGCTCACGCCCGTGCCAAGGCCAATGGCTCCCCTCTGGGACCAGAGCCGAGAAAGTGAGCAATTCAGATGAGGGCTCTGTCGAGCAGAACCCATGTGACCAAAGAGAGGAATGCATCTTCTTTGGTGCCACTTCCGGAGGGAGCATTTCAACGCGTTTCCTATCGAAAGTGGGTGTGCGTGCTGAGTCCTATACAGAGAAGGCATTCAGTGTGTGTTTGTTTAATTAAGAATCTATTTCACTGAGACCATGGAGTGCATCTGGAGGGGGGAGATGTGCAGAGCAGAAGCCCCAGAACAGCTGGCATAAAGGAAAAGTGTGGCTAATGCCTCTAGAAATCCTCTTCCTTAGCGGCCAAGTGCCAGTGCGGCCCTGGAGACGCAGGCAGCTCAGGGCACCTGAGGTCCTCGGAGAGGTCTCCAGAACCTCCGATGGTGACCTTTCTCAGAAGAAAAGCATCCCTGGGGAATTTTAAACATTTATGGGAAACAAAAGGAAGCTAATACAACGAAAGTACCTCCCTTCCCCAAGGAGCGCAGCGGATCTAATTAAGCCTCCTGGCTTGGCATCAGGAAGCGATGTGTATTATCTCCCTGCTACAGACCCAGGGAGCCGAGATGTAGAGGGCAGGAGAGAGGGTGGACCGTGGGTCTGTGGTTCTCACCCCCAATGAGGCCACAGGAACAGCCTAACCCCCAGCCTTCTGATCCCAGGCAGGGTTGCCCCCTCTATGCTGCATGAGTTATTATGGACTTTAGAGAGACCCCGCGAGGCCGGCAGCCTGGCCTAGCCTGGGGCCTGAGCAGGGCAGGGGGGCACCGAGGTCCTGGGGGGCAGCCAGGGGCAGTCCACGGCCTGGTCCAGCCGAGAGAGCCCTGCCAGCCACCGGGGTCCTGACCGCCGTGCACGCCCCTCGCCCACAGCCCGGCCACGGAGCTCCTGAGGTCCGAGCTCCACCTCAAGGCCCAAGTCCCCTCGCTGGTGGAAGATGCGAACGGGAACCTGACGGAGAAGGGCAGCTTTAACCCGTGGGGCCTCCACTGCCACCGGGCCCACCTGCATCGCCTGTGTGCCGAGTACCCGGAGAACCAGCGGCACCGTATCCTCGCCCGCCCATCATGCACGGCGCTGTGGGGGAGGCAGGGGGCGAGGAGGGGTGACCGAGACAAACATGTTGAGGCAGGTCGGGGGAGAGACAGGGATGGCAGGGAGAGTGGGCCCCAAGCTGGGCCCTGGAGGAGAGCTGTGCTGTGCGCGGTTGCCCAGTCGTGACCAGCTCTCCCTGACCCTTTGGGTCGTAGCCCACCAGGCTCCTCTGTCCAGGGGATTTTTCAGGCACAGATATATCCTCCTCCAAGGTATCTTCCTGACCCTGGGATCAAACCTGCATCTCCTGTGTCTCCTGCATTGCAGGCAGATTCTTGATCTGCAGAGCAACCAGGAAAGCAAAGAGAAGTCAGAGGCTGGGGAAGGCAGATGGGGCAGGGGGGCGGGAGTGCCTCTGTTGGGTCACTGGTCATGTCTCTGCCACCTGGGCAGTGAGGATGGGCAGGGCTGGGGTCTCTGTGGGCAGTTAGGAAGCATGATTGCTGCACTGAGGGGGGCCCAGGGGGACTCAGTGAGTGGGTGGGTCCCCATAATTCAACCTCCTTTTCATGCTTCCAATCCTCCCCACAGCCATCACGGAGCCGATGGGTGAGAATGTAGCACGGCCCCTCTCTTAGGGAGGGACCTGCGGGGTAGCCCCTTAGGAGAGGTACACTACTCCCCTGTCCCCCTCGGCCTGCCACAAACTCAGGGAGCGTATTCAGGCTTGGAAGGCCCCCTTTGTCACCACTGGGCTCCTTCCCACGAACTGGTGGCTGGTTTTGCGGTACTTACTAAGACATCTGCAATCTGCATCCCTAAGAAGCTTTTTGCAGGATAATTATTCGGCTGAAATTAATATTCCTGCAACTCATCTCTCTCATCACTTCTCCCAAAATGTACTGGCCCATTCAGTGACTCGAGGTTTTAGCCTTCTGATTTTCTGCCATAAAATGTAAATTGGGCATGGCCTGCTGGGGATTTCACGCCTGCATTTAAATTTCAACCTCAGAGCAAAAAGGGAAAGGAAAAGAAGCTCACATCCTAATAAACCCTCTCTTAAAAATGGACTTATGAGAGCAGTCTGCAAAGTCAATGCCTTGAATTCTTCATAGCAACAACAGGCTGGTCTGTAGTTAAAGAAATGGGGATGAAGGGCTGGGGTTCAGCGGGGGGAGTCTCCAGTCGGCTTCAGAGGCCCCTGACCACCTCCTGCGGGGACGTGGCCTTTGTGTCCCAGGAAGCCTTCCTTAATGCCTCGCGACCAGGGTTCCTGTTGCTGGAAAACGTAGTGTCACAGTACAAGCATCCCTGCATCTTAGACCTGAAGATGGGGACCCGGCAGCACGGGGACGACGCCTCAGAGGAGAAGAAGGCCCGCCACATGCGGAAGTGTGCGCAGAGCACCTCGGCCCATCTGGGCATGCGCATCTGCGGCATGCAGGTAGGTGGGGGTGGGACAACCGCAGGACTGGGCATCCCAGGAGGTCCGCTGGAGGCAAGGGTGTCCCCCAACCAGACACTGTTGCCTTCACTTTGTGGGAGCAACAGAGGCAGTGGCCAGGCACCTCTTTCCCCAGGGAAACACATATCCTGATCCAGGACATGCTGGGTTTTTTTAAAGAGCACTTTTCAGGACAGTGGTGTCAAAATCCCACCGTTTGGGGAGGAATGTAAATTGGAGTAGCCACGAGGGAAAATGGTACAGAGATTCCTCAAAAACTAAAACTAGAGCTGCCATATGATCCAGCAATCCCACTCCTGGGGATGCACCCAGACAAAACTGTAATTTGAAAAGATGCATGCACCGCTATGTTCATAGCAGCACTATTTACAGTAGCCAAGATATGAAAACAACCCAAATGTCCATTGACAGATAAATGGATAAGGAAGATGTGGAACATATATACGATGCAATACTACTGAGCCATAAAAAAGAATGAAATAATGCCATTTGCAGATGTATGAGTGGACCTAGAGATTATCATACTAAGCAAAGTAAGTCAGACAGAGAAAGACGAATATTATGTAATAACACTTATATGTGGAATCTAAACTATGACACAAGTGAACTTTTATGAAGCAGAAATGGACTCACACAGAGAACAGACTTGTGATTCCCAAGGTGGGTAGGCGTGGGAAAAGAAAGGATTGTGAGTTTGGGATTAGCAGATGCAAACTGTTATATATAGAATGATAAACAACAAGGTCCTACTGTATTGCACAAGGAACTATATTCAACATCCTATGATAAACCATAATGGAAAAGAATAGGAAAAAGAATCTATATCTATAACTGAATCACTTTGCTATACAGAAGAAATCAACACATTGTAGATCAATAAATTTTTAAATAAAAATTTAAAAAATAAATTTTTAATTTTTTAAATATTTAATTAAAAAATTAAAAAACCACCAGCGTTAAACTCATCTCAGGGTCTCTGGTAGCTGGAACTTCCCACCCTGGCCAGGTAGGTCCTGCCTATGTTGAGAGCAGAACTTTGATGACAGTGTGTGAGCAGGGCTGGGAGAGAACTGAGGGAAAACTTCCCTGTGTGCTCCATGGGGTCCTCATTCTCTTGAATGATGAAGCTGAACCCTCTCCTTCTCAGATGCTGGGAGGCAGTCAGCTTTTCAAATCCATATTAGCCATTCTGTCTTCTTACGCTGCCTTTTCTGCTGCTTCTTACTACCTGTTCTGGCTAACAAAGTGATAAGCTCATAAGCTGCAAAGCCCACCAAAGGAATGCCTAACTTCTTATTGCCCAGGCTCCACGCTTCATTTTTGCTGCTCTGATGTGGCTTATGGCTGGGACTGCAGGAGAACAGGAGGAAATAAACTTTCTCTACCGGTTCCCTCGTAGAATCTATCTACTCAAAGCAAAACCAGACACGGATTTGATGGTAAACACTATCGCTTTCCTTAATTGAAACTGCCACCCCTTGAAACTGGAAGTCGAGTCTATAAATTTGAGGCACAGATGTCCCTAGGAAAGCTTGGAATGTAGTTCTCAGAGAGGATGGAGTGTGATGCATTATGGTGTAAATGGAATTTCTCTCTGGACCCCAGACCTTCTGAAATTGGTCTGATTTATTTGGAAATTGAGGCCTATCCTGTGTTTAGGACGGGCCAATTTAGCAGCTGATCTTCAGCCCTCCAAAGGCAACACCAAGTCTATAGTATCTTTCTGATTGTTTTCCCACTCGTGTTTTCTGTAAAGATAACACGTCATCTGAAGGCAGGGAAGACCTGGGAAACTGTCGTGGCCAGGTACAGGCGGCCCTCCCCAGGTGTGACAGGCGGGGCGGTGCCAAGTCCCCCCTCTGGCCGTGCCAGCCACTGGCCTCCGTTCAGTCTCTGCCTGCCTCTGCCATCTGAATGAAATGAGGGCGGCTGCCACTGTTCCCCCATCAGCATCTCTCCTCCATCTGCTTCGTTCTGGTGGCCAAGACGTGACTGAGGACTGGGGAAGAGCTGGTGCCAAGGAGAGGCGCCACCAGCCCACAAAGCCCGCTCCCCTCGACATCCAGTCTCCCCTCAACATCACCCACCGCCTGAAAACTCCAGGCACACCTGATCTAGCCTCTTTCCATCTTCAAACAATTCACCCCACTCCACCCCTGGAGCCATTAGTTTCCTCAGAATCTGCAGAGAAAGGACTTCATAAACTTTGTTGGGGGAAATTTTAATTTACTTGGCTTCCCAAGGCCATTGGCTATGATTTCAGATTCCCACTAAAGCTTTCTGGCTTGGGTTTGCTAATGTTTGAAGAGGGCCAGAAGCCAGGACTTAAATCATGATTTGGCGGTTGACATTGGAAATTCACAAGAAAGGAGATCCAAACCTTTTCCTCATGGGCAGAGGGTCACCTCTGTAGGATGAAGGATCTTTGGACCTTGGATTTCTATTAACGGCTTGCACAGAAAACATTTTTAAGTGTAAAATTTACACTGGTGCTTGGTGAAAGATTGTCTTGCCAGTCACTGCAGGCATTCCTGCTCGGCATCTCTAGAAATGTGTTTCTGTATTAAGTTTGCTTGAGACGCCTCTGTAGCAGATGTGATTTTTTTTAAGTTTGCAATTCTTAACGTTGTCTATCTTTTTTTTTTCTATCTTCTTTTTAATGTAAGGTTTATCAAAGCGATAAGAAGCACTTTCTCTGCAAAGACAAGTACTATGGAAGAAAGCTTTCAGTGGAGGGTTTCAGGCAAGCGCTTTACCAGTTCCTGCACGATGGGACCCGCTTCCGGACGGAGCTGCTGGAGCCCATCCAGCGCCAGCTCCAGGCCCTCCTCTCGGTCATTAGGAGCCAGAGCTCATACCGGTTCTACTCTAGCTCCCTTCTCATCATCTATGATGGGCAGGAGACTCCACAGACGCCCCACAGCAGCAACATCATCAAAGTTGACGTCCGGATGATCGACTTTGCTCACACAACATACAAAGGCTCCTGGAATGAACACACCACCTACGATGGACCAGATCCAGGCTATATCTTTGGCCTGGAAAACCTCATCCAGATCCTGCAAGGTATTCATGAGGGACAATGAGACTTGTTGGGCCCATCTGGACTTTTCCAGAGAAGAACTCTCCAAGGGGACCTATTGGTAGTCTAGACCCCCCTGACATGTGTCTGTAATAATTCTATCTATGTTCAAAAGCCATCTCTCCACATGACAGGCTATACTCACAGCTGCTCAGGACACCAGCTCTGGAGGTAATGCACGTACCCTGGCATCTTGCGCTCATGCTGGCCCTCACAGGCTGCACGTGAGGATGAAATGGTGCCTTTCTGGAGTAAGGAGAGCTGTAGAGGAGTTAGGGGCCAGCGTCACAGCGAGATTCTGCAGCATCTGCGCTGAAGGACGCTTTCTTGTTGTCATGCTGCGCTCTCACAAGCTGTGAGGGGAAAAAAAAACCTTCCTTGAAGAAGCCTAGAAGAATGTGTTCCCAACTTTGTGGTTTTTCTGCTCACATGGGCTGCTGGCTCCTGGGGCAGACAGAGGCTAATAATGTCTCTTACCTTCCTCAGAGTGGTAGGTGGGGCAGGGAGACGTGAGACAGAGCTTCCGTCTCACCAGCTCTGACCCCAGGTACAAAATGGACAAGGACAATCCCAGACACAGCACCGGCAAACCGAGACTCCAGCTTCCCAGTTTTTGCCTATGGAAGGGCAGGTTCTATGGGAAGTGATGATTCTGCCAGATTCTGACCATGAAATGCAGCTTCCGGTGGGGGTGGACTGCACAGAAGAAAGATGTGAACTTACACTCTTCGCTTTCTATTTATTTATTGGAGGTGGGGGTGGGGTGGGGGAGTTAGAAGAGAGGCCCCTGGAGGACCCAGGAAACCAGGTTCAATGTTTACAAGACGGGTAGACAGTATAACTACAGAACCGAGAGCAAACGGTTCTAATTAATTCCTTCTCCTGCAGTGTAGAAACCTATTACAATGCCCTCGAGTCAAGCACCGAGATACGTTACCCAATTAGGGAAATAAATTTGTTAATAAAATTGCTGAGGTCACCAGTGATTATTTGGTGTGCCTTATTACTCCTTCTGTTTGTTGATTCTGATCATCATACTGTATGGCATTTTCAATTTATGAGTGACTAGAGTATACCACCACAAGAACAGTTCACTGATTTCCTCCTGCAATGCGGGAGACCTGGGTTCAGTCCCTGCGTTGGGAAGGTCCCCTGGAGAAGGGAACAGCTACCCACTACAGTGTTCTGGCCTGGAGAATTCCATGGACTATAGTTCATGGAGTCGCAAAGAATCGGACACGACTGAGCGACTTTCACTTTTCACTTTCATTACCCTTTCTGTTTGTTTCTGATCATCACACTGTATGGTATTTCCAATTTATGGGTGACTATACCACCGCAAGAACAGTTCAGCGACTTCCTGCAGTCTTTCAGGGAACCTGGGTGAGAGATGGTAGCTGATAAAGTGATGTGCGTGTATCACAAGTCAGGGCCCAGACCTGAGAAGTGAGTGGTCTCTTCAAGTGAACCTTACACAATGCAAAAGGAAACAATTTTTGTATTCTCAGAGCTAATCAACTTTCAAAAATCCACACAGCCTCTCTGCCCCTCCCGCAAAGAAAAAAAAAAATCCACACCAGCAGAAAGAAAGAATACCTGGATAAAAAAAAAACTTCTTTACATTTTAGTTTACACTGTATGGATTTCCAAGCAAGGTAACTTGCCTGATTATCTTTGGCCTCTGTAAGGTTGTGACTGAGGTTCATGCCCTGCATCCTTGGTGAGAAAATTGTCAAACCACAGTGACAGATTTTATTTTCTTGGGCTCCAAAATCACTGTAGATGGGGACTGCTGCCATTAAATTAAAAGACGCTTGCTCATTGGAAGAAAAGCTATGACAAATCTAGACGGCGTATTAAAAAGTAGAGAGATTACTTTGCCTGAAAAAGTCCATATAATCAAAGTTATGGTTTTTCCAGTAGTCATATATGGATGTGAGAGTTGGACCATAAAGAAGGCTGAGCACCGGAGAATTGATGCTTTCAAACTGTGGTGTTGGAGAAGACTTGAGAGTCCCTTGGACAGCAAGGAGATCAAACCAGTCAATCCTAAAGGAAACAATCCTGAATATTCATTGGAAGACTGATGCTGAAGCTGAAGCTCCAATACTTTGTCCATTTGATGCAAAGAGCTGACTCACTGGAAGAGACCCTGATGCTGGGAAAGACTGTGGGCAGGAGGAGAAGGGGACAACAGAAGATGAGGTGGCTGGATGGCATCACCCACTCAGTAGACAGGAGTTTGAGCAAACTCCAGGAGACAGTGAAGGAGAGGGAAGCCAGGCTACAGTCCATGTGGTCGCAAAGAGTCAGACACAACTGACCGACTGAACAACAAATGCTGTGTGGCAAAAAGAAGTCAGCTGAAAACGAAGTATTTCCTAACGATGAAAGGGAGCCCAAAATACTGCTTTTTCTGGGCCACTTCCTTGCTCGAGAACTTAGTACGGCATCAACTAAGTCCAAAACTCCCTGGCTGAGCTTCTGATTCCTGTTCCCATTCTCAGCCTTGGGTGCTGTGGGAGCTGCCTGAGGGTGAGGTGGGAATGTCAGCTGGAATCTGAGTCTTTTTTTTCTTTTCAACATTTATGTATTTATTTGCTGCGTTGGGTCTTAGTCGCAGCACCCAGGGTTTCTGTTGCATCACATGGGCTCTCTAATTGTGGCATGTGGGTTTAGTTGCTCCTCGGCATGTGAGATCTTAGTTCCCCGATCAGGGATCCAACCTGTGCCCCCTGCATTGCAAGACAGATTCTTAACCACTGGACCCCCAGGAAAGTCCCTGGAATCTAAGTCTTTTAGGGCTGGCCACCCACGTGGCTAAATACGCTGCAGCTGGTCTCCATGGTGGCTCCGTCTTCCTGCCAGTGTGATGCCCTGCTACCTCTTTATCCCACAGTCCCCTTCACAGTAGCCTTCTTCCTCCTTTGCAACTCTTCCGAGATCCAGCCCAAATGATTCCCTCCTCCTCCTGAACATGTCACCAACAAAAGTGCAATTTGTGGCAAGGGGCTAAGTTGGCTACCATTCTAGACTGTTGTTCTTCCTAGACTCCTGGACTCAGAGGGGCAACTGTGGTCTGAAACTTGTGCCAGGCTTTGCAGATTCAGAACTCAGGTGGATGAGTCCACCCAAGTATTGCAAATCTGGGAAGAGGGAGAACAGAAAGATACAGAGAGGAGAAGGAGATGCACATGCATGTATTAGCTCTCCAATCTGTGTTTACTGAAAAAGGGCAAAAGGGTGCAGGAGCCCCGGGTATCCAGCAATCTGCAAGTGCATGCCTGTCCTGCTCGGCTGTGCCCTGCTGATCTCTTTGCTAAGTGCTGTGGACGATTCAGCCCTTGGGAGCTAGATTCTAGTTGAGGAAGCAAGAAAAACACAAAGGAACTGACCGCAAACCACGTGGGACATACCCAATGATACAGCGGGTTAATCTACGTGGTACAGATGATCAATCCTGTAAAAAAGTTGAACCATTTGCGGAAAGTGGAGCTGTCACGGAAACCTTTGGAGGAGGTGGGACTTCCTCTGGGCCCTGAAGGGGGACAGGAGTGGGAAGGGGCTAGGGCATTGGTGGGGGTGCGGAGTAAAGGGAGGGGAAGGTCCAGCGGGCTGGTGAGTCTGTGGACAGACCAGCCCATTCTAAGTGGGGTTTGTGGCTGGCAGTAGAAATGAAGTAGAGAGATGGAGTGAGCCCAGAGGGTGGAGACCCCTGGAGATCTGGCTGAGTAGCTCATTCATTTGTTTATGAGGTCATTCATCTGTCCTTCTCTCCTTCCATTCATTCATCCAACAGATATTTTCCAAGTGCTTGGTACAAGCTACATGGTGCTAGGGCCTTGTAGGAAACCAGAAGTGTGGGGATGGTGATGCTATTCATAAAAACCTTTTGATTTAACGAGAGACTGAAGATCCTCATATGAAAATATCACTGGTGCTTCAGTGGGGGGTGGGGGCGCTCTGCTCAGCTGCACAGAAGGTTACACAGGAAAAGAGGCAGTGAGGACTCCCTGCCCTGTGGGGTGATCACGGAGGTGGTGTTGGAGCTGTGCCTTGGAAGGGAGGCAGGACTGAAAGATGAGAAAGAAGGGCGAGTGTTCCAGGAACGGGAATCAAGTGTTCTGCTCAGGGCACAGCCCTGTGCCGGCCATAGGAGATTAAGATGGGAAATGAAGAAACCCCAGAACGTGAGTGCTGGAAAGGGCCTTTGAACCTTCCGCGTTTCTGCTGGGTCTCGCCTAGGTCACCGTAAGAGCCTCTCTTACACAGACTGCGGAGCTCTCCTTTTATTAAAAAAATTCTTTATTTACTTTCTTGGCTGTGTTGGGTCTTAGTTATGGCTCGCAGGATCTTCAGGATCTTTGTTGCATCATCCAGGAATTTTCGTTGCCAGGCATGGGCTCAGTAGTTGCCCCTCAAGGGTTTAGTTGCTCCGCGGCATGTGGGATCTTAGTTCCCCTACCAGGGATAGAAATCATGTCCCTTGCATCACAAGGCAGGTTCTTAACCACTAGTTGCATTCTCTTCTTCTTCTTTTTTTTTTTTTTAATATTTATTATTTATTTGTCTGCGCTGGGTCTTAGTTTCAGCATGTGGGTTCTCTAGTATGCAGCATGTGAACTCTTAGTGGCGGCATGTGGGATCTAGTTCCCTGATCAGGAAACAAACCTGGGCCTCCTACACTGGAAGCTGGGAGTCTTAGCCCCTGAACCACCAGGGAAGTCCCACTCTCTTCTTTTTGAACTGAGAAACACAGAGGTATTAGTCAAGGGAGGCTGTTTAGAAACAATGCTCAAACATCAGTGCTTTACGCTCCAATCCACTTGAGTCAGCAGACAGCCTCTGCTCCACATGGTCTTCCCAGGACCCAGGCTGCTTCCATTCTGTGACACCACTTCAACCACAGGCCTGAAAGCCAGACGGATGACGCGGAGTAGGCACACCCACATCCCCTGGGCAAGTTGGCCCCACCCAGATGCCCAGGGTGGGGGGGAGGCGGGAACAGGCAGAGAGTCATTTAATTGTATGCATAGGATGAGCAAGTGGATTTGATGAGACCCTAGCCAGTCTATACTGTAACCTCTTTCTCCATGATCCTCCCATCAAATTGACACCTGACTTATGGAGGGAGAAGCAAGAGACATAAACAGTAAGAGGGGGGCATGTGGGGACAGCAGGGGACCGGCAGCGTCAGGACTGCGGATTCCGATCCAGTTCCTTCCCCCAGCCGCGTCCTCAAATAACAAGCATGCCAGAGCTCTGGCAGATGGGTTTAGCGTCTCCGTGACCTCGGTTTCCTCATCTGCCCCACGGGCCCTCTGACTTGGTCTTCAAGACAGATGATGTGGAAAAGCAGCTGCTCCTGACCGCCCCACCCCTGCCAGCTGGGGTTGTGGGCACAAGGGCAGCCCAGGCCACACTCAGCCAGCCCCGCCGACATCGCCCGTGTGATGGAAGAGGAAGCTCACAAGCGGAGTGTTATTACAGCTTTTCCATAATGCAATGTCATCAGGAAGGCCCGGGCCTCTGGGCAGCGCCCTGGCAGCCCCATTACTCTTCCCAGCTGCTCAGCGCCTTTCAGACGATGCTGGAGAGGGCAGGAGGCGCGCTAATAAAACACCCGGCAAGGCGAGACCACTCATCAGCAGCTCTTCAGAATGATCTGAACTTCGGACTTTTGATTTAAATCTGCATCCTCTGTGGCCAAAAACATAAAACAGAAGATGAGGGAAAGAGCAAAAATGAAAGCGTGGGTGCCAAGAATTCAAGAGGAAGGGAGGAAGACAAGCAGCTCTTGGAAGCTACCCCATCGGGAGCTAGCCAGGCAGGCTGACTTGCACCGGGGCTGGGTCCTTCCCACCAGACCTCACTCAGAATCCTCCCTTCTGTCACCAAGCTGCCCCGAGATGGGAGAGGAGGCTTAAGAGCTCATCCAGGAACAAAAGTCAGACATCTCCCTGGTCTGATTCGCCCCGCACCTGCT